ATGTGGTCTGAACTCCTCCTGTCACACATGCAGATTTCGCTAGAGCCAGAGCACGCTGGCGTGTTGCCAGTTTGGTGAAAACCGTGAGCCACGAGCGCTTGTGAGCTGCAGTCCCCTTGGCATTGTGTGGCTCAGGCTGAATTCTAAACCTGCAACATTTGCCATTCCTAATATAATTGGTTCCTAATTAACAAAGACTTTTCTTTCCATGTGGTCAGTTAATTAGATCTTATGCCTCAGCCAAACTCATTGTAACAGAGGAAAGCTGATTAGAGCTGTCCTTTCAATGGCCTGCACTCACACATGCTTTTGGGAGCAATGGGGTAGAAATTCTCATCTCTGGATTCCAGACACTTGCCATCTTGTTTTAATGGGGTGCATCAGGGAAACCCTGGTACCTACAGCACTGTACAAAAGTCTACATGCAGGAAACCTGCAATAAGACATGAAAACAAGCTGTTAGCAATAATTACTACAAGGATAACTGGCAGGAGTTACAACCTCTCTGGATGTGAACCTTGTTCAGGAAGGACGCAATTGGAGAACAGGCAAATCCCACTTCTGCAGCAGATCTGAGTCCTGATCCAGGCGCATTTGGCTACTTTGGATGCCATCTAGTGGCTTTTTACAGGCCACCTGGGAGCTGTGGGAGCAGATGGGTTGGCAGTAGGAGCTAAGCTGGGGCCGAGCAGAGCAGGCCTTTTATACTATATTACCTCCTGGAAGGAAAGCAGTTGCAGGAATCTGGAGAGGCTCTTGCATCCTTGGCTCCTCTTGCAGTGCAGCAAAGCCCCCTTTTGCCAAACACAAGTTTCTTGAGTACCTTTCTTAAAGTGTGAGAGGGGGCTGTGCAGGGCGATGGGAGGGAGAGGGCAGAGCACGCCCAGGGTGCACAGGGATGGGCTGGGTAGGTGCTGCAGCAGGCTTCCCTGGGCACCGCTCCATCCCGCACAGCGGCTCTCGGCCCCGGCAGCCCAGCGTGCTGCACGAGCCTTGGAAAGTCTGTCTGCCGCTAGAGGCAGAAGGGACCTGGTTGTTGTAAACAGCTTTTCTGCTGCTCCCCTTCCAGCCTGCCTGTGCTGGTCCCGCTCTGGCAACGAAGCTGGTGGGTGTCCTGGCCTCCTCATGTCCTCCCGCGTGAAGGAGGGCTCAGGTCTCCTGGCCTTCTGCTAACGCTGCCCAATATGTTCCACTGCGCAATCCTGTTGTGGTCAAGCTGCCGAGAACGCCTCCCTGACAGACCGGGGCTGCCCGGGACATCTGCCGTCTCCAGTACAGAGCCCTTCGGCAGTTTGTCCCTCCCAGGAAGCGATGGGGGCAATTCCAGCACAGATGGATGAACATCAGCTGGGGGACGGTGAACAGCAGCAACCCTCTGTTGACGAGGACGTGCCCAAGGCTCTGTCTCTCTTCTTCCGCCCTGGCTCTGTGCGGCCAGCTGGCCGCTTTGTTGTCAGCATCATCGCCGCTCCTCCGATACCTTGCATCTCGCTATAGGCTGCTGCAGGCTGGATGCCCAATCAGACAGATGATGGTCTGATCCAGCATGGCGGTTCCCATGCTGTTATGGGAACAGGATTGGAAGAGACCTTTGGCAGATCATCTCACTTGTCTGCAGGACTGTTCCCTGCAGTAGGTTTCCTGGGCCAGTGTTTAGCCTGCACTCAAATCTCCCAGTAATGCTGAGGCTTCACCTGCAGATGAGGGATGGCAGCAGCAGAGGGATATGCTCTTCTGTCCTGGTAGCACCAAGCTGTATGAACTCATGATTGCTTGTCTTTGTTGGCATGGTTAGTCTTTGTGGTTGTTAGTCTTCCTGCCCCTGCAGGGATGGATTAACTCTTTCTCTTGCTCTGCTTATGCTAAACTGTTGGCTGCTCAGCACAATTCACTCCAGCATAGACCGCAGGGAAAATCTTAAGGACCCAAGTGAGATCCCTTTGAAGGGCCTTGATACAGATAAACTCTGCATGGGGAGCTTGTCATGAGCAGATGTTTGCAGGTATAAACCCTGCATGTATTTTGGACGCTTAATTAATTTGCTGTCTGAATAGACACAAATGTCACTGTGTGCTCTACTATTTAATCAGGCTTTTGCAAAGAATAAAAACAGCACCAGGCAGCAACGCAGAGACTGTGTCTGAGGCTTTTACCCTCAGGATGTGACTCTGTCACCCTGAACAGAGCTGCAGATGCTAAGCTTTGCTGCCTTTTTCTCCCAGGTGTGTGAAAACGTGGTCAGCTCTGTCCACAGTGAGTTGCAGCCTTACCTCCAGACCCTGCCAGGTACCGCCTGGGGACTGCCTGGGGGCTTTTTGAGAAGCTCTTCCTCGTGTTTCCCTGACCATGAGGACAGTGCTTGACCCTCTGCCCCCTCCCCATCTCCATTTATTTCCCCACCCATGTGGAAAGCCTTTGAACACCATATCGGCAGAGGTTTGCCACCATGTACCCGCCTGGCTGTTCCCAGGCAAGGGTGGCACAAAGACCCGTCGTCCTCACACAGCCAGAGCCGTGCCCTGGGGGTGGTCCCTTAGCAAGGGGACCCAGGCTGCTTCTCAGATCCAGGAGTTAGTTTGCAGTACTGAAAAGCAGAGTGGGGAGGGAAATGTGGTTTGTTGGTTCATTTGTTTTGCTCTAAAGAGACTCAGAGAGAAAATGCACGTGGAGCTGGTACCATGTTGTTGCACTGGGAAGCCTGGGTGCCAGCAGTGCCTGGGTGGCAGGCGGGAGGCAGTCTCCTCCTGGCTTTCCTGTGCCACCTCCACCTCACTCATTGGTCTGCTGCATGTTTTACAGTCACAGCCAGGATAGATGCCATGGCTGGGATTGATTACTCCTTGGTGGCACCCCCAGCTGCTACTGCCCAATCCCTGGATGCGGACCTGAAGGTGAGAGGCTGCCGGGAAAGCTCAGTTTGGCTGATGCCATTGCAGGAGGCGTTGGGAGACTAGGTTTAGTTGCTTGCGGTAAATGCTGCTTTCAGCATTTTATAATTCCCAGCCCAGGTCAGTGGGTGATTCCCACCATGCTCTGCCCTCCAGCTTCATCCTTCCCTTTCTCTCTAGGGTGAGTTCTTCTCCCTGGCCCACCACTCCTCCGTGCCCTTCCCTCCTCCGCCACTCGCCTTTCCTCCGGACCATGACCGCATGGTTTACTTTGGGGCCTCCAGCTACTTCTTCAACACGGCCAGCCTGGTCTACCATGCCGCAGGGGCCCTGGTCTTCGAGCTCACTGACTCCATGGTATGGAGAGAACACTGCAGGGGGCCTGGCCCCACGCCTTAGGGGAGCGGGTGCAACACACAAATGGGCAACCGGCGGTCTCGGGGGTTTCCTCTGCGCCTCAGCCGCCTGCGAGCATCTCTGCCACGCTGTCAGAGGCTGGACGCAGGGTGTCTGTGGGGATCGGGGCCGTAGGGTACATCCGGATGTGGAGGGCGAGCAGCAGAGCCGGGGCTGTCTGGCACTGGCAGCGCACGGGGCCGAAGGGCTGATCTCGCCATGACTCCCCGGCGGGCTCGTCCACACAGCGCAGCTGAGCTGCCCCTGGTGGTGACCTTCTCCTTCCTGCAGATCCCAAAGGGCCTTGACTTCCATCTGAACACCTCCATCTTCTCAGCCTTCATCCCCCAGGTGAGCAGGGTGGTGGGAACTGGCAAGATGGTTTATTTGGGAGTGCAACCCTGCGTGCGCCAGGCTGCCGGCACGGGAAGCAGCGCAGCTGCAACCGGTTGTCGGTGCCTGCGGTGGGTTTTGTTCCTGTACTGCCGCAGTGTGCTCCTGCGGAGGCACCTCTCTTCCAGCCCCCCTCTCTGCTCCTTTCCAGTTGGAGAAGATGTACCCCGACATGCTGATGAAGCTCAGGCTGTCCACCCCTGCTGCCCCCTTCCTAAGCATCGGCCCTGAGGGTCTCTCGCTCCGGCCTGTTGTGGATATCCAAGCTTACGCCATCCTTCCCAGCTCCAGCTTGGCTCCTCTTTTCCTCCTCAACATGGTGAGTCAGTGCCAGCTGTCTGACGCCCCAAGCGGGGAGCAGCTCGTGCAGCCACAGCCCTGGGCGCTTGTAAGCTCCCCACTGCATCTCAGTGGGGCAAAGCTGAGAGTGTCTCAGCCACGGACCATCCTTCTGTGGTATTCAGCAATCCCATACCATCCCTGCAGAGCTCCTGCTGGGAGAGGTGGTGAATTCCTTCCAAAACCAGCCCATTCTACTGCTTTTCTTGGTACAGCGGGTGCATCCCCAGCACAAAAATACCTGGGCTCACAAATTCAAGTTTTGACACTGGGTGCAAACGTGCCCATGGACAGGTGGCAGCCCAGCTGCATTGCTGCCCTCCGCGTAGTCTCCCCTGGCTGCCGGGCCGGGGAGGTGCAGATGAACTGCTGGAGCTCTGCGCTCTCTCCCCAGACAGGCAACGTGTCCGCCACCATCGACGTGAAGTCCGGCAACATCGTTGGGAACCTGACGGTCGGCAGGTGAGGGGAAGAGCAGGGCAGGTTGCTCCACCCTTAGCTCACCCCATGCCTCTGGCAAAGCGCTGGGCGCAGTGGCTGGGGGTGGTGGCTTTGCTCTGGGGACCAGGATGGGATGGGGAGGCCCTGGTGACAGGGACCCGCTGCAGCAGCACTGAGCTGGAGGAGCAGGGAGCGGGAGCAGCGCGGGCAGCGCCCGTGGCTGTGAGGGAAAACCTCTCTTGGGGAGGTCTCAGCATGCTCTCCTCTCTCCGCGCAGGCTGAGGCTATCTCTAAAGCACTCGGACGTTGGCCCTTTCCAGGTGAGCTGTCCTCTGAAGGGCTCGTGCCTGGAAGGCATGTGCTCAGAGGGCTGGCAAGCTGCTTCCCCACAGCTGGTGTCCGCCGGCACGAGCGAGAGGTGCAGAGATGGTGTCCTGAGTCCCAGGGTCGTGATGGGCTTGGACTAGCGCGTGTCTGTCCGGAGCCTGCCTGTCTGCCACTGGTGATGCTCTGTCCCTTCCCTAGGTCTTGGTGGCTCCACCCCCGGTGGTCAGGTTGTTCATCACTCGCAGCTCCACAGCTCTGTCCTGGCTTTCCCTTGGTGAGGGACGGATGCAGCTGGAGCCCCCCACCACTGCCAAGTGCCCTCCCGAGGGAGTGTCGCATCCCTCCTCGCCCACAGCATCAGGGTGCACCGGCCATGTGGCCACCTCTTGCCACTCTCTGTGGGATGAGGGAAGCAGCACCAGCTCAACTGCCTCCATCACCTCCACGCTGCTACGCCACCAGCACGGCCCGGATGAGTGGCTGGTCTCTAGCAAAGCATGCCCTCATTCCTGGTCTCCTTTTCTTCTCCTAACTGTCTGCTAGTGGATAGTCACCTGCCCTCTTGCAGGCTAAAGCTCTTCCTTCCCCTCTCCATGTCCCCAGGTGCGAATGCTGCAGTCAATGATGAACATATTTGCTTCCGGGATCCTGCTGCCACGTCTTAATGGTAAGGACCTGCTGGGGAATGCTGCAAGAGGCACAGACTAGGTCACTCCATCAGAGCAGGCCCAGCTTGCTAATTAAATCTGTGTGGCCAGGCCCAATCTATGGGTAAAAACTGCAGTGAGTGAGGGGGACGGTGGTGCGAGCGTAGGGGTGTTTGAGGTGGCAGAGCTGGGCTGCGGGCAGTGCCGCGCGGCAGCCTCTCTCCACATGGTGAGGCACATCCAGAAGGGACCAGGATGGAAATAACGAGCGCGACGCACGTCCTAATGCTTTCCGGAGCCCTCTGCCCACCAGGGCTGGGCTGAGCACGGGGTGGGGGCACGGCCATGCACCAGCCCCTCAGGGAGCCCTTGGAGGAGTTTCCTCTGCCAGCCTGGGACACGGCAGGGAGGACAAAGGGTCAGGGTGGCAGGACGTGGCTGCTGCTTTGCACAGCCCCGTGCGTCCTCTTCCCTTCCCCGTGTGGCCATGTGCGTTGTCTCGTTCCAGATCGATTAAAACAGGGCTTCCCTCTCCCGCTGCCAGACAGGATACAGCTCTCCAACGTCATCTTGCAGTCGCACCAGGTGAGCGAGCGCCTGGCTGTGGCCCTTTACCGGGGGCCAGGAAGGTGGCGGGGGCCCGACACCCGTGGGAGACTGGGCTGAAATGCCACCAGCGTCCCCTTGGGGGGATGGTGGCGCCGGGACCCCGCCCAGGGGACAGCGAGTGCGCTCAGTCGGGGTGGTGGCTGCTCCGTGCTGCATCCCAGCGGTGCATCGTGCCTTTCTGCAGCTTTTGAACTCAGGGCCTGAGTTTCCCACGGTGCTTTTTATAGCAAGTGGAGGTTTACAGTGGTGTCAGCCCCGTGCCCCTGCTGTGCGACCGCAGACCGACAGCGGCGCCAGGACACGTCTGCCTGCGGCGGGGCCGCGGCCGCGCGTGCTGAAGCCCGGGGGTGCAGCAGCTGGGGGGGCAGGAGGAAGCCGGTGTTTTGGGAGGCCATGGGGAGAGCCCGCAGGAGC